GACTTCTCACTTACAAATAAAAAGGAATACGACTGGACCGTAGTACTAAGTGACAAATTCTCCTGTTGTACTCATGTCTAGAAATGACGTTATTGTGAGGATGTGAATAATGTTTCACATCAAAAAGTTAATATTTTACATAAATTTATAAAAAGTTGAATTATTTCTTATATTGTCAATTGAGTTTCAAGTCAAATATTTGCAATCTAATTAGAGTTTATTAACTAGCATTTAATTAGGGTTTAATATTTAATTAGATTTAATTAAATAATAAGCAAAAGAACAATGCCAAATTGAGTAGCAAATCAAAATCAAAAGAACAATGCCAAATTGAGTAGCAAGCCAAAATTAAGTGTGTTGCACAAACTATCACAACTAATGTAAGTGATCAATAAATTCATAATTACGAAAACATAATTTGCAGATTAATACTAAACAACCTATTAGCTAGTTAGTTTTAAAGTCCTAAATGTTCTTACCATAATTAAACATTGGTCAATTCAAAACAGAAGAGGATAAATACATGTCCAAATTCTTTTTTTTTTTTAGTACATCGATATCCAATTCATTATTCACGAGATTCGAACTTAAGATTTCTCACTTTTGAATGAAGAGGAATATCATTAAACTGTAATATTGAGTGATAATTAAGTATTCAAAAGTTAACCTTTGAAAAATTATTTGGTAACAAATTTAGCGACTCAACTTTTATTGTATGGCAGTTTGTAATAGCTATCAATTATCATCTCTATCTAAAGAAAATATAAACGATTGTGCAGTTTAATTGTAAACTTGCTTTTTTGTGAATTTGTGGCTTGACTGAGTCGTTAATGCAATACTGTCATTACTGTGGTAAGTCAAAATTGAGGGTCGATTTAAAAACTTGGGAAATACTAATCAAAGTCACACACACACGTGATCACGAATTCACACACGCAGAAAAAGAAATAAAAAGTCAAGTCTTCCAATTGCCTATGGCCAATTCATGTATAGTCCATCTATTTTTCTTAAGAATATGAAAGTGTCCGAAAGGATCCTTTTTTTAAATTATCATTTATTTTTGCACATGTTCATTCTAAAAATTACAAAACCTATGTGTCGCGCAAATCAAATAATTATTGAGCTAACTAAGTTATTTTTGTGAATGTGAGTGAGCCAACTAACAACCAAGGTTGGTTGGACGAGTAGAGTAGATGTGGTGGTGGTGTCGAATGCGCTGGTGATTTCTGCACTTAACTACAACCAAGGAAGTAATGCCTCTCGGGCTAGGGTTCTAGCACCTAAAAACAAAGTTACTTAATTCACGGTGAAGTTCAGGATCTTATGCATCAGGTTCAGCAAGTGTACCGAATAGGTATCAGGCTTTAAGGGCAATGATACTCATAGGAAATCAGCATCTTTATTAAGGGTGGGCACGGGCGACCGGGCCAAAAATTGAAGGAACCGGATTGGACCCGTTTGTAAATAAAACGGGACGGGGTGGGGCGGGTTTTGGATTTTTCAAAATAGGATCCAGACCTAACTTGGCCCGTTCAACAGTTCAGTTCCTACGAGTCCCTGCGGTTCTAAATCTTCACTCACACCTAAATCTGGTTTTCGTCATCCTGTTCATTCCCCTTCCCAGCATCTTCGCCGACGCCTTGAGCAAATCCTCCGGTAACCCATATGTTCATCAGACGGAGCTCTCATTTAGTTGTTTTTAGATCTAGCTAGTGACTCTCTTTGAATAGTGGGTTGATGAGTCTGACTTCTAAGCCAAATAGTGTTCTAACAAATCATCTTCGTCATCTGCCATTAACCATAAGACAAGAAGGTTTATTCATTAGATTGTGAACACAAAGCATTTCCTTCATAACAAAATTCAGTGATTCGACTGATTTTGGTCTCATCAACATAAGACCACATGGGATATAAGGAAAGAGAATCACCTTCAAAATCATCAAAATCGAAGTCAATCTCGTCCTCATCCTCTTCATCAGACCCTTCAGTGGCTGGAGCTGCACCTTTCTATGGAGGGAGAAAAGCAAACAAAATGGAAAAGTGCAAGGAAAAAGAAGGGAATAGAGAGCCAATAAAGAAAGAAAATGAGCTCCTTTTGAGGTGGGTGTGTCAGATATTTTGATAATTTTATGAGAATTGGGAGAAACGGGTCCAACCAGGGCCCCGTTTCCTAAGGCTTTTGCACCCATCCTGTCCTGATAATTTTGTGAACCCACCTCGTTTTGTCTTTACAAATTTTAGACTTGCCTTGAACCGCATGGAACCGGCCGACCCCGCTGGCCTAGGGCTCGTTTACCCACCCCTAGTCTTTATTGTGAAAGTTGTTTAGCCGTCTAAATGCTAAACTCTGAAATGCACTTGCGAATAACTAATCAAGAACACCTCACTTTGCACTTTGCTGGGAAAGTCAGCTGAGACTTTGATAGATAACCTACCGAAATAAGTAGTGTTATTTAATCGAACAATAGGTAATCCTAGATCAATTAGTTCTACAGCTTTAGTGATATTTACCCGAACTAAATATGTTGCTCGTTGCCATCCTAGTGATGTTCAATCAAATTGAATATATTCTTATGGAGGGGTTAGGATAATTAGTATTTTTTCTCAAGGTTGTGAAAAGGTTTTTGCGTAGAGTGATATTTTTCTTGTGGAGCTATATTTTTCACATAGAGTGCTTAACTTTGTTGTTGAATTGAAGGGTCTCTACGTTAAAAAACCACTTCTATTTATAGGACAAGCATGCCTTGGTTGATAACTAATTCGAATTCCATGTGAACTGGATATTTTCACTAATCATAATATTGGGATAAAGTCTGACTTTAGCCCCTAGTTAGTGCTATTTACACACCCATTTTAACCTCCATGCACCTTTGTTAATTTTTGACGTTGACCTTCTTCCATTCATTCAATCTGATCGCCAAAAATTAAAAAGGGCATGTGAAATAAATATGTATGTATGACAACATTTTTTTTAACAACGATATTATCTACATTAAGAGGGAGGGAGTGAGCTTAGGCTCATAATTGGCTGGCAATAATGTGGTTCAAATTTGCCTTTAGCGAGAATTGAACCTAAGACCTCTCACTTATAAGTGAAAAGAAATACCACTAGACCGTAAGACTAAGTGACCAGTGTGTGATAACATTAACAATCAAGAATATTGGGACAAAATTTGAACTCTATCAACCAGTCAATGAAGAAAGTTGGTGTTTCACTATAAAATCAATTGGCAATACAGAGAGTAGCACAACCTCTTATATATAAGCCCTTACAAGGTTTCTCCTTTCACGGATGTGAGACTCTTCTTTTACCTGCACATCCTCACACGCCCCCTCATGTGTGACGAATTTTCAAGTGAAACACGTGGATAGCACGGATTGGGTGACGTGGAGCAAGTGTGGTCGTTGAGCTTCACACGTGAGCCAACCTGCTTTGATACCATGGAGAAAGTTGGAGAATTCTACCATAAAACCAATTGGTAATATATATAGAAAGTAGCCCAACCTTTAATAAGCCCAACATTCTATAAGCCCTTTCAAAATTTCTTTTTTCACCAATATGAGACTCTCTTACCTTCACGTCCTCACATCAACTAACTATCAAATTAACATGGCTAATTTTCTAGGACTCATGCATGACATCAATCTCATTACTTCACATAACCACGCTGCTCCAGTCCAACCAATCACAAACCAACTCAAATTGGATAATTGAAACAAATGTGATTATATTCAGCCTACCAACAATCCAACCAATCATCATCACCACGTGCTGCATGCTGCTCAAATCAAATGTGATGAATTGAATCTGTTATCCAATCAAAATGGATGAGTATGTAGGCTTTCACAATTCTGCCAAGTCTGCAGGTATCTTAAACAACATGAATGAGGAAAATATTATCTGAATGAGGAAATCCTGATTATTATTTGATGAGAGTTATCAACAATCATGTTTGGTCCATCCTGATCTCACCAAATTTTAAAGATAGTTGCTACGATTAAAATCAATAGCAATGTTAAGAAAAATTCCTTTATTTCCAGAGTCAGTTTAAGACTGAGTCCAAATAATGTGATATTGCTACATTTTTTTTTTTTTTTTAAATTAAAGAGCGAGTGGCATACAGAGTCAATATTTGGTCGACACCCATGCACGTCAAGCATCATTTCTGTCTTACACAATTTCCTCCACAAATTAGTACGCTTTCATTTATAGAAACTGGAAGGAAAGATCGAGATATTAGACGAAGCCAAGAACAATAACTCGCTAATTATCAACTCAATTATCTGGACAAATTATCTCTATCACACTGAATAGTATTTGATAAAATAAGTTTTTGGGTAGTGCTTTTCAATTTTCATTATGGTACACCAATGCTAGTCATCAATACTGGTGCTTGTTCATTTCCCGTGTCGTATAATATCTCACATTAAAAAGTTAAACTATTTCTTATATTGTCAAATTGAGTTCCAAGACAGATTTCTGCATTCTACTAGCTTTTATTGGCTGGCTCACTCTTTAGTTGAGCACTAAGTCCATGTTTGGTTGAATTTGATCATTATTTGATAACCATTTTTTTTTTTTTTAAGTTTTCAATATTGACTCACTCTTTATTTGAGTCAATTAAATGTAACAAATGGTCGAACAGATATCCGATCAATTTCAAAATACGTGTGCAAGGACTTTGACGAATAGGAACTTAGGAAGAGCTAATACAAATAAAGAATGGCAATACAAACCGTTGACGGAGGAACGCGTATAACCCAACTCAATCATGGACAACCACTACGGGTAACTCGGTAGTTGTGGACGGTTTCATACCTGTATTCCTAATGGCACATTCTGAGTTTAATTTCTAACAATGGTGAATCACAAGATGGTGATCAGAAATAAGCTGAAATGCCTATATAAGTCTTTTCAACTTTCAAAGTGATAAACTGTCGTGACAAAATAACCAGCTGATCTTGTTAAAAAAAAAAACAAACAAACAAACTCAATCACGGACGAAGACTATACAAGCCTTTATCTTTATCTCCTATGTCACTATAGCCTATAGGGATAAAACAACAAAAAGGAGGAAAATAAAGAAGAATAAAAGCTCTAATTAAAGTACAAGTTGCCATGCGTACTCACTCTATATAAACCTCAGACTTTTGGTCTCACTCAGAAACCCACGCGCAGTTAGTAAACTGATCACTCTAAATTACAAAGAACATGGCTCGAATTGTGCGTGGTTTCATCGTCATGCTAAAAACCAACATCGTCGAAATTCCTAGTTGCGAGACCTACCGGCATCGACCCGGGAATATGTAAGTGATCGAATTAACTTCTCAGAATTAAAGCACTTAAATTTTTTTTGTTTAATTGTCTTTATATATCTGAAAAAATAAAAATAGAAATCATTAGTTAATTTGTTGATTGTGTTGCCAATTATATGATTGTATTGGAGTCTATATGTGCAGACTGCAGATCACGCATCCCAACCGTATGCACGCCAGCAGGAGGAATATTAGTCGCTCAAGAATGTATGGTGGTTTCATTATAATTGCATGCATAAGATTAGTATTACATTTTTGCATATTGGACAACATTTATATACATATATCTATTTAATTTGATATTGCCTTGGTAATGAAAGTTTACTTGGACCCTTTAAAATCAACATTTGGTTTTGTGATAAGGAAAGTGATTCAGCACACTCATTTCACTCATATTTGTTTCTAGGATTTTGATTAAATACTTTTATTTTTTATTTTTTATCATAGATGTGAAGATAGCAAGCCCATCAGCAAAGGGGGCGGTGGGAAAATCAATGGGACGACGACGTTGAAACAGCAGGATGTTTCTGATGATGAAATCAGCAGCTCAAAGACTGATCAGAACGATGGCAAGCAAAGTAACGGAGATACAAAAGCTACAACAGAAAAGACTGGCTCTACCGGTTGACTAATTATAAATTTACGCTTTTTAATTAAGAGATAAGCTGTGTGATGTGGATTCTATATGATGGAATAAGTCTTCTCTCCCTCTTTCTTAGATATTTGTGTTTGTGTTTGTGTTCGTGGGTGTGATTTCGTTACTGTAACTGCTTTATTTCCAGACATGTATAATAAATAATCAATATTGTTAAGTGCTTTATGTAATGGCGGAGCCAAAAGTATTTCATAATTAGCGTCTCACAAATATATATTAAGATTTTTTTCCTTTCAATTCAATATTGTAGATGCAAATTTCTGCCTTCTTATTCTTGGATAAAATTGCACTTACAAAACAAATCACACCTTTGGTTAAGGTCAAAAAGCCTTACGCGCCCATGATCCGATGCCAAAGTTAGAATTTTGAGGGAAGAGTTGTTTGGAGAACTTTGTAGAGTTTTGCAAGAGACTTGGAAGTAGTTTTTTGAGATAATGGAGAGCTATTTATAGGGATATGGCCAGCCCTATTAGGAGAATAGGCACTAGCCATTTGTGGTATTTTTTGGGTGTAATTTGTAGTTAATTAGCCATGAATAGATTAATTAGGTAATAAATCCATTAATTGACTAATTAACATAATTTAAAAGAAATGTTTTGGGGGTTATGGAATAATTACCTTGTGGAGAATATAGGATGAGGGTGGATGAAATAGTTGAATTTATTACCTATTTTGGGCACTTTTGACTTGGTTGAAGGATGATTGCCTGTTGCTCCCACGTAGGAATCTTGGTATGCCTCAAGGGTATTTTTGTCCTCTTTTATCCAAAAATCCATGTGTCACCTTGTGATTGATTTTGGCTCCATAAATGCCCCCACACCTATTGGATTGCTCGCAGAAAAGGGCAACAGGTGTAGAGATTTTCTTGCTTTAGGAAACTTTGGACTGCTTCCTATTTTGATGTAGATTCCCTCTTTACCAGGAAATTAGATCCTTCTAGGAAAGGGAAACAAATTTCTCTCAAAGCCTATTTAAGTCCACCTTAAGTGGGTTCTTAAATCAACTTTGAAGAGCGATTTATTCTACCCTACAAAAGAGAGAGAGCTTATAGGATATTTGTTCCCTCTCCTCTATCAATTTTCTACATCTTGCCCGTGCAAATGACCGTTTTTCGTTGCTTTCTTCGTTTTCTCTGTGCCACACTGATGTAAGAAAAATTTCATTTTTCTTGTCTTCTTCGTAGATAGTGCTATTGCGGGGCAGCCGTTAGGGTGGTGCGACACGTCGGTTGTCAGGGGCCAGGAGTCGACTTGGCATGGGCCAATGAGGTGGTTTGGCAGGGGCCATTGCTTGTGCTGCTTGGCTTGATTGAAGCCAATAACTGGCTCGGTATGGGCTGAGGAAGTGGCGTGGCAAAGGCAATGGTTTGGGTTGCTTGCTAAAAATGAGGAAACTGCTTGAGTTTGATTTCTTAGCTGCTGTAGATGGAGCAGTCAAGGATGGAGCTGCCAAGATCGAAGTTGCTAAAGATGAAGTGTCGGATGAGCAAACTGTTAAGTGTAAAGGTGGATGCTGCCCCTTAACCATTTGTTGCCTAGTTGATCTTCAAGCATTCGATCTTTTGAGCTATGTGGCCTTCTCACATTGGAGAGCTTACCCAGATTGATGTCAGGGATTTAGTTTACCCTCTCGCACTGGAGAGCAATTAGTTTACCCTCTCGCACTGGAGAGCAATTAATTTATCCTCTCGCATTGGAGAGCAATTAGTTTATCCTCTCGCACTAGAGAGCAGACCCATATGGGTGTCAAGGAATTGGTTTACCCTCTCGCACTGGAAAGCAAACTCTCGCGCTGGAGAGCAGACCCATATGGGTGTCGGGGAATTGGTTTACCCTCTCGCACTGGAAAGCAATTAGTTTATCTTCTCGCGTTTGAGAGCAGACCCTTTTGTGTGTCGAGGAATTAGTTTACCCTCTCGCACTGGAGAGCAATTAGTTTATCCTTTCGCACTGGAAAGCAAACCCATATGGGTGTCGGGGAATTGGTTTACTCTCTCGCACTGGAGAGCAATTAGATTATCCATTTGCACTGGAGAGCAGATCCTTTTGGGTGTCGGGGAATTCATTTACCTTCTCGCACTGGAGAGCAATTAGTTTATCTTCTCGCACTGGAGAGCAGACCCTTTTGGGTGTCGGGGAATTGGTTTACCCTTTTGCACTTAGAGAGCAATTAGTTTATCTCTCGTACTAGAGAGCATGGAAATCATTGTCATGAGTGTAGCTGAGGAAAGCTAGACGGTTGGGACAATCGAAATAATCTTTAGCCTACCCCCGATTCTTGGTAGTTGGGCTGGTGTGTCATTCTGGTACTCGTTTGCCCCTGGCATGCCATTAGGCTGAGTTGCTACATTTGTCGGAACATAAGTAGTTTTTATATCTAGAATCTATATGGGGTAGTCATGTCTGCTCGATCTTGTCATTGAAAGATGACTTGCTTATGTTGGTTATGTCTCATCGGAGCGCTTTGTCAATAGCTTCGTTGCGCGGGAAATTACGCAATCGCTCAGTCATGAGCTTTTCTACTTCTTCTTGAATTTGCCTTTGTTAGGGGTGGCATAGCTCTCAACTGCCCCGTGACCTGCTGGTTTAGGCTGCTCTTTTATGTGTTCGGCTCGTCTATGCCATGGTTGTGGTGGGCGTGGTATGTTCCTAGCAGGCGAGTAGGTAACTCATCGGTTGCTAGTTGAACTTGAGTCGGATTGAGTGACCGCTTCTCTCCATCCTCTGTGTTGTCTACTTCGATGTGAGGTGGATGATGCTCCTTGCGAGTCTTATCGCAAATGAACACTTCACTTGGAAGGTTGCTCATGTTGATTATTGGAGTGTGACCCTAACCGTGAGTGTATGTTTGTCTGTGGGCCTAATTGAGAGTGCACGCTCCTCCACGCGCTAAGATAGGAGTATACGTTATCTCGGGGGTCTAGTCGGGGGTGTGCTTCGTTAGAACGCTCGGTTCATGACTGGTTAAGTGGCTACTTGCCGGGACGCTGGTGGAGAGGTTTGTCTACTCTTGTCCTTCTTCGGGACACCTCATCCGGGGCACATTGGATTTCGGTGCGTTGCAAGAGTTGATTCACCAAGGTTATCTGTTGTGTAAGGGTGCTCGTCAACTCTATGACTTGTCGAGACAAGTGTTGTTTGCCATTTGGATTGGAAGAGCTTGGAAGGAATATGCCTCCTTGAGTAGTGGAAGTGTGGTAGGCTTCGGGCACGAGATTTGAATTGGGAAATGTCAAATCTGCGGAGAAACGTGGTGAAAATACCCCCGGCTCGATGGTTGGTCCAGATGGTTGAGATAGTCTTGGGCCGATTTGGGCTGCTTAGAATGCCGTGAGAGTAGGTTAGGTTATAAGAGTAGGCTAGGGGCGAGAGCAGGTTGGACCGCGAGAGTGGGCTACTCGGTAGGAGCAGGCTGGGCCATGGGAACGGGCTAAGCTGCTAAAGCAGGCTAGGCCACGAGAGTGGGCTGCTTGACGGGAGCAGGCTAGGCCATGAGAGTGGGTTGCTCGGCGGGAGCAGGCTAGGCCACGAGAGTGGGCTACTTGGCGTGTAATACACGCGGGTGCAAGGCTTAGGCTCGGCTTGGCAATGCGTTGGGCATAGAGTGGCATGGCTTGGGCCGTGGCCTTAGTGCCATGAGCTTCCTTGGATGTCACAGCTTGGGCCGTGGTGGTGACACTATGGACCTCGCCGCAGGTAGCCACCGCGGTGGTTCCCGTGGTGGAAACTCGTGGTGGTGGTGCCGCTCTACCTATTGTCACATTTAGCCTTGTGGATCGCCGTGGTCCTATCTCTTGAATGTTAAAATTTTCATTTGTTGAATTTTCTAAATTTCTAGTCATTGTACTTCTCTTTTACGTTTTATCAAAGAATTTTTACAATTAAAAATTCTAATAATAAGAACGTACGAAAAATCTACAAATGGACAAGAAAATAGAAAACCTTGGATGCGAGAGTCTTCTATGAGTGTGGGACTCAACTCTCAATGAAAGCATCAATTTGTGGATGCAAATTTCCGCCTTTTCCTTCTTGGAAAAAATTGCACGTACAAAACAAATCACATCTTTGGTCAAGGCCAAAAAGCCTCACATGCCCATGATGATTTTTTTTTTTTGGTGGGGGGCGGCTTTGGCTGAAGAATCTATGATGCTAAAGTTAGAATTTTGAAGGAAGAGTATTTGGAGAATTTTGTAGAGTTTTGCAAGAGACTTGGAAGTAGTTTTTTGAGAGAATGGAGAGCTATTTATAGGGATATAGTCGACCCTATTAGGAGAATAGAGACCGGCCATTTGTGGTATTTTTTGGGTGTAATTTGTAGTTAATTAGTCATTAATAGATTAATTAGGTGATAAATCCATTAACTGACTAATTAACATAATTTAAAATAAATGTTTTGGGGGTTATGAAGTAATTACCTTGTGGAGAATATAGGATGAGGGTAGATGAAATAGTTTTGAATTTGTTACCTATTTTGGATACTTTTGACTTGGTTGAGGGATGATTTCCCGTTGCTCGCGCGTAGAAATTTTGGTATGACTCAAGGGTATTTTTGTCCTCTTCTATCCAAAAATTCACATGTCGCCTTATGATTATTTTTAGCTTCACAAATATAATAGCAGAATCTTATATATTGAGGGACGAAACGATGCAAACTATGGAAGAAACCACTAAAAAAATAACTCGTACAGTATCGAAAAGCCCAGCCACAAGTTGCAGGACATGGGTCAGCCTTAGCAAGCCCCCAAGGATACGAAGAAGGATGTGAAAGAACTAGAGCAATAGAAGAAGCTTTACACACATCAATTCAGATTTAAGAGACTATTTTTTAATTTGGTTTGAACATGAAAGGTGTGGAAAAGAAAGAGACCTATTTTCAAACTTCAATTTATTACGTACGTATTTTTAAATATCCAACAATAAGAAAACTCCCACAGTCGGCTAAACATTGTGAAGTTGTGGAAAAACCTCTGCAACACAAAAGCAAGTTAGAAATTCAAGAAAGGAAGTGTTATTAGTATTTTAAAAATCTCATTCTACACTTTTTATAAGTGTATTTTTCTTTTATAATACAGAAAGTTTGAAGTGTAGAATGAGATTTTTGAAATGCTAATAACAATTCATTTCGAGAAAACACTAACAATAAAAGAAAGAACAATGCCAAATTGAGTAGCAAGCTAAAATCAAGTACATTGTGCAAACTCACAACTAAGAGATAAGTGATCAATAAATTCAGAATTACGATG